AGAGAGGGTAATCAAGCATTGGAACAGCCTACCCAGAGAGGTGGTGGATTCACCATCCCTGGAGGTTTTTAAGCAGAGATTGGATGTGGCCCTTAGTGCCATGATATAGTAATTGGAGTTGGATCAGGGGTTGGACTTGATGATCTTGGAGGTCTTTTCCAACCCAATCTATTCTGTGATTCTATGATTCTCTGATTGGCTGAGCTCGGTGAGGGCTCAGTTTAGGCCTGGTCTGCCCGGCAACTGATGACGCTTCAGCTGCGCTCGCCCCCATTGGCTACTGCTTGGGCTGACTCTGCCCGCGGCTTGGGGGTCCAAGGTGTGTTTTGGGGAGTCCTAGATTGCTGGAGTTTGGCTTTGTGGCGCTCTGGATACGTGGATTTTGGGGGGCCGACGTTGCCCAAACCCTCTCCCGTTCCCAGGATTTTCGGAGCCCCCCCCCCAATATCCCCCAATAGCAGGACAGCAGAGAACTCGGAAGCTTTACTGGGAGCACTGGGAGCAGCAGGCGGTTGGTGTGAGAGCAAAAGCAGGGCCAGGGGGGAAACACGACCCCCCCAAATTCCGGGCGGGGATGAACTGGGGGGTCCCGGCTGGATCCGAGGCCACGGGGAGGGGCTGCGGCCACCGCCGGCTCAGGAGCTCTGTGGGGAGAGAAAAATGAGTGACAGTGGGCTGAGGGGGCACGGGGGCACACACGGTGTGGGGAAGGGGGGACACGACCCCCAGGGCCCCTCTTTACCTTCTCCCGCAGGTAGAAGCCGAGCCCCAGCGCCAGGAAGATGAAACCCAACACGAAGCCCCCAACAACCACCAGGATCTTGGTATGGACAGTGTCCTGTGGCATCTCTGGAGGGGAGCTGGGGGGAGTCAGGACCCCCAAAACCTCCCATAGACCACCCAGGACCCCCCGAAAACTCCGTCCTGGTCTCCCCCAGCCCACTCAGGACCCCCTGAAACCTCCTGCCAGTCCCTTCCCAGCCCCTCCAGGATACCACAAAGCCCCTCCCATTCCCTTTAGCATCCTCCAGCCCCCCTCCCATCACCCTCAGGACCCTCCAGAACCCGTCCCAGTCCCTTCCAAGGCTCCCCATCACTTTTTCACACCTCCCCCCAGCCTCCCTCCCATCCCACCCAGGCTCCCCCAAACTCCCTCCCAGTCACCCTCAGGACTCCCCACAGCCCCTCTCAGCCCTTCCAGGACCCCTCAACCTCCTCCTCAGCCTCTCCATTGCCCCCCAAAGTGCCTCCCAGTGTCCCCAGTGCTCCCCCAGACCCCTGGCCCCCCTGCCAGTGTCCCCCCGGTGCTGGGGGGGCCGGGCCGTACCCCAGTGCCGGCTGAGGGGGTGCTCCAGGCTGACGTGCTCCACCTGGCAGATGTAGGTGACCCCGCGCCGGGGGGGGATTTCCAGCATCACCAGCACCTGGTAGGTCCAGTCCCCGTTGGGGACCACGTCAGTGGCCGTTACGTGCTCCGGCAGCTCCTGCCCATCCTGGAACCACCTCACCTGCACCGGGCAGGGTAGAAATCCATCACGGAGCAGAGCAGGGGCTGGGGCCGGGCTGGGAGCTCGTCGGCACCAGCGAGATGGACACGCTGGGGGGCACTGGGAGAGACGGGGGAGACACTGGGCTGAGCTGGGGGGGACTGGGAGAGACGCCGAGGGCTTGTAGGACTTTGGTAGGCGTTTGGATGGCACTAGGAAGGACTGGGATGGCACTGGGAGGGACTGGGAATGCACGAGGGTAGAATGGGATGGACTGGGGGGGTCACTGGGAGAGAGTTAGGAGACGTGAGAGTGAACTGAGAATGACTGGGAATGGAGTCAGAGCGTCTGGGAGAGGAGTGAGAGGGACTGGGAATGACTGGAAGGGACTGGGATGGACTGGGAAGGACCTGAGCGAGACTGGGAGGCTGAGTCCTGAAAGGGAACTCTGCGCTGCGGATCTGCCCAGCAACTGATGAGTCATCAGAGAGACTCGCTCTGATTGACTGAGGGGACGGAGAGCGGTGGCACCAGCGGGGCGGAGACGCGGGGGGGCACTGGGAGAGACTGGGATGGACTGGGATGGACTGGGGGGTACTGGGATGGGGAAAAAGAGGACGGGGATGGGCACAGGGAGGGTTGAGGAGTCAGGGGTGATTTCCAGGGAGGGTTTAAGGGGTTCCAGGGTCGTTCCCGGGACAGGGGAATTCCCGAGGGGACCCGCTCTGCCCCGCGCTCACCTCTGAGGTTCACAAGGAACGGTGCGGACACCTTGTAGTTGTGCCGGCAGTATGTGTCTACCAAAGCCCGTCTGTCCTCCAGATATTCCTGGTCGCTGTTCCACTGCCTGGCCTGGATCTTCCCAAACGGGGTGTCCCCCACAAAGACCCCCACATCGCTGTCGAAGTGGGCGAGCTGCTGTCGGTTGTAGATGAACCTCCCCAGGAGCCTCACCCGCTCGGTGCCGTTGATGAAGTGACACTCGGTCTTTATCATACTCTGGAACACCCCTGTGTGTGCAGGACACGGGTCAGGGGGTGCCCTGTCCCCACCCCCATCATCCCTCAGCACCCACAGCAGGTCGGCAGCTCAGGGGGCCACCCTAGACCCCCCTTTCCCACTCCCCTCTGCCCCACGGCCGTCCCAGCATCAGCTCTTGGTTCACGGGGAACCCCCCCATCAGCCCCCCGGGGATGGACAGAGGGGTTGGGGACCTTCCAGTGCGGATCCGATCCCACCCCCAGAGTCCTAGAGAACCGCTGCAGGGCTCTAGTGATGGGGGACAGCGAGGGACCCCCATGGCACCCCTCTTCCTGCTCTCCCACTCTCCTTTTCCCTCCTCTCCCATCCCTTTCTCACCGTCCCGCCAACCCCAGACCCCCTCATGCTCAGTGTGGGGCTCCCACCCCCCTCCCGTTAATTCCGAGGGTTCCAACCCCCCTTGCACTCACTTCTGGGGCTCCCACTCCCTCTTTTCTCTCCTCTTTCCCCCTCCCGCCCCCCCCGCTCACCCGAGAGCTCCTCGCCCGCAGCCGGGGGGGCTCCCAGCACCACCAGTACCACCAGTACGGCCCCAGCTCCCCGCACACGCTCCATCCCCAGCGCCGAGCAGGTGCTGACACCCCAAAACCAGCCGGGCGGGGCCGTTTTGGGGGGTTTTGGACGCGCTCTGATTGGCTGAAGATAAAGCTGGGGACTCGTTTAGCGGATCGTCTTCCCGACAACTGAGGAGTCATCAGCGAGACGCGCTCTGATTGGCCAAAGTCCGCGTCGGCGCTTTCTGATTGGGTGAGACCGTTCGAGGCGCTGCAGCCCCGGTGGTTGGGGGATTCTGGGGGGTCCGTGGGGTGCGGGACAGATAGGAACTCAGGGGAACCAACAAATGGGCGTCCAGGGGTCCCGCAGCTCTGCTGAACCCAAAAACGGCGATCCAGCTGCCCAGAGCTCCGACAGGCCCCCAGAATCGAGTGGAGGGCCTTCTCTGATTGGCTGAGCTCGGTGAGGGCTCAGTTTGGGCCGGGTCTGCCCAGCAACTGATGACACAGTAGCTGCTCTCGCTCCCATTGGCTGCTGCTGCTGGGTCTTACTCTGCTCCCGGCTCTGGGGGTCCAAGGTGGGTTTTGGGGGGTCCCGGATTGCTGGAGTTTGGCTTTGTGGTGCCCTGGATACGTGGGATTTTGGGGGGCTGACGTTGCCTACACCTCCCCTTTCCCAGAATCTTCGGAACCCCCCCCCCAATATCCCCACTAAGCAGGACTGCACAGAACTCGGAAGCTTTACTGGGAGCACTGGGAGCAGCAGGCGGTTGGTGTGAGAGCAAAAGCAGGGCCGGGGGGGACACACGACACCCCCAAACTCCGGGCGGGGATGGATTGGGGGGTCCCGGCTGGGCCCGAGGCCACGGGGAGGGGCTGCGGCCACCGCCGGCTCAGGAGCTCTGTGGGGAGAGAAAAAGGGGTGACAGCGGGCTGGGAGGGCAGAAGGGGGCACACACGCTCTGGGGAAGGGGGGACAGGACCCCTGGGGACCCCCTTTACCTTCTCCCGCAGGTAGAAGCCGAGCCCCAGTGCCAGGAAGACGAAACCTAACATGAAACCCCCGACCCCCACCAGGATCTTGCTGTGGACGGTGTCCTGTGGCATCTCTGGGGGGAACTGGGGGAGTCAGGACCCCAAAAACCTCCAAGAGACCACCCAGGACCCCCTGAAAACTCCGTTCTGGTCTCTTGCAGCCCACCCAGCACCCCCTGAAACCTCCTGCCAGTCCCTTCCCAGCCTCTCCAGGATCCCACAAAGCCCCTCCCATCTCCTTTAGGACCCTCCAGCC